ATATGAGGGTTTTGAGTTTCTTATTGAGCGTACACATTTTTCTGATATATTTTGATTCAATCATCCGAAACATTCCTCTCTGAAAGTCATTCCATTGTACGTAATCATTTTCGTCTAATCTATATGTTAGTTTTTTATATAGACTATAACTATCTAATTATAAGAGACTACGGTTAGTGTACAGATGATCGATTTCTAAATCAAGCCATTTTTCTTTGGCGAATTTTTGGACTTTATCAGCAACTGAAGACTTAATAGGAATGTTTACGTTAACAAAATTTGGAAAAACTAAATATCTCTTACAGCTCTTTAGAAACCAAATATCTGCTTGTATTAGCCTAATTTTAGTTGAATACTTACGATACAGATTCAGTTCCGTTGACCTGGCCGTCATTATGTATTTATGATGCACTGTTTGGAACCTTTGGTGTAGTAATGAATATTACTGGAGTTTTTTCCCAACACCAAATCGTTATTTTTAACACCTCGACACGTGTTTCGATCACCAAGTGATCATCTTCAAAGAGGAAGATTAAAACTAGAAAATGATGCGAGCTAACCCTATTTATGCTATAAAGGTAACCCATAAAGGTGTCGAAAATAACGATTTGGTGTTGGGAAAAAACTCCAGTATTATTCATATTATGTAGTTAAATGCCAATGTATTCAGACAATTATTAAAAGTTCCGCCATTTTGTAGTAGTTGAAGATATTGACATTATATTCTAGGGTTGAGTAGCAAGATGGCGCCTAGTCGCCATCTTGAATGTTTCATCTGTCAATTTCACTTCAAAAAGTATTCATCCATTAATTTCAATATCCCAAATTTCAATTTTTTGAGTTGACCCGTTCAATAAATAAAAGGGGGGGGGCATTAAAGAAATGCACTGTATTTTGAGAAAAATTAAAAATCACCTCATTTTTTGAACACACCTCGTATACCTTTCCACCTGTTAAAATTCAACCCCTCGCCCCTCGAAGAACCTCTCTCTTGGCACGGCCCGGCAAGGTGTTCATCATTACAATTTTTCTATTGAGTGCGGTGACCCAGTGACGTTGAAAAGTAAATAATTCAAACAACCAACTATCGGCTCTCGACACCGACGAAACCCAACCGCCTTCTAAGGAAGTCCAATGCCGAACGAACGAACGCTAATTGCATTATTCGATTCGCGCGGAGAGATGAGAGAACGACCCGTCGGAAAAACACGTCGAATCGCTTCATTTTTATGTATACTTAACAGCCGACGTTAGTTAAACCATAATTCCAACGATTTCATTGCATCACACACCTACGGTCACTTATAATGAAACAATCGCAATAAATACATTGCATCAGTCACACATCAATCATATAAACACCCTATTTTTTTTAAATGAAAGACACCATGGAGAAATTGACCTACAGATTACACAATTCTAACCACATACATCTTCTACAGGCATTTACCCATTGCGTAGTAATATGTATTTTTCACATCAGCATATTGGTGTATCTGTGCTCTAAGCAAACCTGAGATCCAAGCTTTGAGCTTATTTTTGAACATGTTAATGCCAACGGTAGTTTTGATATGTGCTGGAATAAGATTATACAGCAGAGGAGCTAAGTACTAGGGTTGCCTTTTATATTTCGGGAATAGAGAACAAAAACAAAGATTAATAATCGAAAATCACATTATTGTTTTTCAAAATATTCCCCATGAAGATCTATACAATTTTGCATACGTTTGAACCAATAGTTGAAGCACTTTTGCCACTATGATTGAGGTATCTCCAAAACATGCATTCTGAATTCAGCAACCGCTTCTTCTAGTTTCGAAAAACGTTGAACTCTCTGTTTGTTTTTCATGTGCAGGAATAAAAAAAAAGTCATTCGGTGCCAAGTCAGGACTATACAGCGAATGATTCATGAAATCGATGTTTTGGGTGCTCAAAAATGCAGTTGTTTAAGCTGATGTGTGAGAGCTCGCATTGTCGTGGTGAAGAGTGATCCGTCTTCAGCGGTTGGTTTTTCTGATTTCTTGGAAGACAAATGGCAAACAAATGGTTGTGTACGACTCATAATCGACTGTTTTGCGTTGTTCTAGTGGTACGGTTGCGACATGTCCAGTTTTTCCGAAAAAACAGGCGACCATTTGCTTGGAAGTGCTTTGTGCGCGAACAACTTTTGTTGGATTTGGCTCATCTTAAAATAGCCATACAGTCGACTGCTGTTTATTTTCGGGCTCATACGCGTAAATCCACGATTCATCATCTGTCACGATGTCATAGACGTATTTCGAAGCACCGCGATCGTATTTTTTGAGCATTTCCTTCAACCAATCGACACGACCCGTTTTTTGAGTGATTGACAAATTGTGTAGGATCCAACGCAAACACATTTTTTTGACAGTCAAATGTTTATGCAATATTGAATGTATGCTGGTCCCACTAATGCCTAAGGTTGTCTCAATCTCACGATAGGTCACATGACCATCTTGCAATATCAGTTCGCGCACAGCATCAATGGGTTTCGGAACAACAACTGATTTTGGACCACCTTCAAGAAATTCGTGTTGGAGTGAACTACGACCACGATTGAATTCACCATACCATAGATAAACACTGGTCCTTGATGGAGCTTCATCGCCAAAAATTGAATTAAGTTCATCCATGCACTGTTGCTGAGTTAATCCACGTCAAAAGTATCGCAAAATAATCGCACGAAAATGTTCGCGATTTAATTCTATTTTTGGGCCGAGATAAATTTTTAAAGTTACTGTAAACAACACAAAGAGTGCGCGTATGTAAAAACGTTCTGAGTAGCTATAAGTAAAATGTCCAACTTTACGATAGAGCTGTCAGTTGCCAGATTGCAACCCTAGGATTGCCAAATCCCGAAACATAAAAGGCAACCTATCGTACGTATAACACTTTTGTAAAGTGTTTTTCTGTGATTTTGGCATATAGGTTGAATTCATTTTGGGGCGAGTTGCATAATGGTGTCCAATTTTTCTAAATTCAAGTTTATTTTTGTGTGACCTTATAACAGTTTTGAGAAAGTAAACTTGCCTTATGTCTAAAGTCAATGTTTCCTTATATCGCGCTTCTGTGGAGTAAGTTCTTTTTTTATTTGTTATTCAATAACATTTCGTTGTGAAATTTTCACTGGAGATTATGGATAGACTATAAAAACACACTTTTGTCTATTTTCCATGATAGTTCTATATTTGTTGATTAGTTTCGGTTATTGCACCATTTTCAAAGTTTTGAAACGCGTCTAGAAATATGTTATTGTTTTTCATCAAGTAATGATCGGTCCATTCATAACACAACTAAAAAGTTATGAAGTTATTCATCTGTGATGGGTCTCGAAGATGGTGAGTTATGAATCTAGTGAGTTATGAGATCATCGACTACTCACCCAAACGGTCACATAAGTAATTTACGCTTTTTTCAATAGCTATATACTTCGAATATACGGTCATTTCAAAATGGACGCCAATGTCCGACTCTGTCCCGTCGCTAGAGTTGTCGATTAGCGAAATTTATTTGTCCAAGTTAACAGTTATGAAAATAAACAATCGAGTAAAACAGTCGATTTCATTACCTGCTCTATTGGGTAATTCGATTCTCGTGCGTTAGCCCGATTGAAAACCTAAATTGGAGATAGACAACAATGCAAGAACGCATTAGCCTAGTTAGCTATGCAGCAATATTGATAATAATAAAATTGAGTGTCTTATTGAACGACGAATGAATTGTTTTGCAATTGTTCTTTGCAAACAGTCATGGTTTTTCCCACAGATACACAAATAGAAATATATATGTTGATGGAAAAAATATTCTTATTAGTTTTGACGTCAGTTTATACCATCAGAAGAAGAGGTGAAGGTGAATTAACAATGTTGTTGTTTGAAGTATAAAAATGCTTTAATTGGAAGTTTTCGCGTGTACTAAATTTTTAAAATAGGTCGAAACTTTAAAAAATTCATGACTCCAAACTATAATTTATGCATGTGGGTAATTCTGATAGGTCTTGAGATGCTTATCAAACAAAATCTGACATCTCAGCTTCGACTTCCCTGAACAACGTGGCGCCCAACGTGGGGTCACGAAATTTCTGTTGCAACTCAGGAGTGTATTTTACCTAAACCTTAGAAATTGTCTCTCATTGTCAACTTGCATAAAAACTAATTTCGAATTACTCACCGTTAGAGCTCTTCAGGTCCCGGTGTATCAGCGAGATCGGCGCCCTGCAATGCAAATAGTCCATCCCCTTCGCGATCTGCACCGCCCAATCGACGAGCACGTCCGGCCTGATCTTTCCGCCGGCGAGCACCCTGTTCAGCGAACCTCCCCTGCAATACTCGAGCACCAAGCACAAGTTCGGCTCCTGCAGACACACGCCCTCGAGCGAGACGATGTTTGGGTGCGACAGCAGGCAGAAGAGTTTCGCCTCCTTGACGACGTTGTCGAGCGTTGCCGAGGCGTCGGCGTCCGAGTCCTGCCGAGCCGCCTTCACGGCCACCTCGCGCCCGCGCCACACTCCGCGGTACACTTTGCCGAAACCGCCGACGCCGATAACTTCTTCGAGCTCGAGTTCGCCGAAGTCGATCTTCACGGGGTCAATGTCCGCGATAATGCTGTTCACGTGATCCGAGTACTGCGACGGGTTCTGATGGGCGACGAAGTTCGACGGAAAAATCCCCACCTGGAAGAAAAAGTCATTTTTCAATTTTTTGACATTCTACTTCTTCATTAATATATAGGGTGACCAGATATTTTTGACGGTTTTGCAGATTTCTTCAGTGCTTCTTATACAGTGTGTAACAACGAAAACTTAACAGAGCCGCTTTTGAATATGAAAAGTAAGATTTTTAAAAAAATCTCGGACACGTCGATTTCTAATTAAAGGGGGACACCTTTCAGAATAATCAGATTTTTTGTAGTACGCACCCCCTCGGAGAGGTGCGTCCGACGACCCTTATTTAGATAGGGAAAGTAGGTCGAGTGGCACCTTGTTTTAAAGGTCTTTCGAATACCTTTACAACTCTGTTTGTTAAAATTGCCATGTTAATAATACATTAGACAGACTACTCGGTAACTTGTATGCCTAAATAAAAAAATTTTTGAGCAGTTATCAGTTTTTTGTTAAATAAAATCCCTTTTTTAAAATCAATACCAACTCCTCTTCTTCCAGTTTTCATTAGTACATCGTTCGATTGTTAAACGGGTCGTGTATTGTTATTTGTTTAAAAATGCCTTACACTACTGCTGAAAGGGTTTCAGTTATTGCTTTATTTTTTGGCAACGACCAAAATGCTAATAAAACATCAATTTTATTTAACGAGCAAAAACCTGGTAAACACCTAAGCAGAAATCACGTTTTGGATTTGGTCACAAAATTCAAGGAGACAGGTTCGGTTTTAAATAAGAAAAGAAATGTTCAGAGAAGGGTAGTGAATGACGATAATGCGATTGGAGTGATTGGTCAAGACATCGCCAATCCCAGGTTAAGTACCAGAGGTTTATCCGCAATGGCAGGAATAAGCCATATGGCTTATTGCATGGAGCATGGAGAATCCTTAAAAACCACAAATTCCATTCTTACAAAATTAAACTTGTTCGTGAACTCAATGAGGATGATTTTGACCGAAGACNGAAGATGTTTATCATACCCTAAAAAAGTTAAAGCCTAAATTTACGGGGGACCTGATCATATACCAGCATTCATCATTTAAGATTGTGCCTCAGCTCTGGTTGAACCACTAACAACTCTAATTAATATATGCCTGAAAACATCAACTGTACCATCAATATGGAAAATGTCAAAAGTCTGCCCAATTTCTATCATATGCAAATTTGGAAAATTTTTGAGATGCTTTTTGAGAAGACAATCTATTGTCATGTCAGCAACATTATTAGCCCCAATCAACACGGTTTCATGACAGGCCGTTCAACCACCACCAATCTTGTAACAATAGCTCAATGTATTGCAGAGGGTATTGATTGTCAGTCTCAGACTGCTGTCATCTACACAGATTTTTCTAAAGCATCGACAGACTTGACCACAATATCCTGCTCAACAAGCTTTCGACTTTTGGGTTATCCAATGAATTAATGACTTTATTCAAATCGTATTTTTACAACCATAAGCAGTGCGTCCAACTCAATGGCTTTAAGTCTATCGAATATATAGCCCCATCTGGTGTACCACAAGGATCAATTCTAGAACCCCTACTGTTCAATATGTTCATCAATGATATCGGAGCTGACATTGATGTCAATTTCCCTTTATACGCAGATGACTTGAAACTCTATCACAATATAACATGTTCTAATGATTGCGAACGTCTAGCCCTGAATTTAAATCGCGTTGCTACATGGTGTCGAAAGAATAATGATCTCTCAACATATCCAAATGTAATGTAATGTCTTACTCACTGAAAACGAACTTGAATTTACACAACTACGTCATAAACAGCAGCTTATCGCATGTATGGATTCTTAGTTAAAAATACAAAAGACTTCGAAAAAGCTTCAACATTGAAATTACTTTATTTCACTTTTGTTCGATCTAGGCTGGAATATGCATCTGTCATGTGGAGTCCCTATCAGGTTCATATAAATCAACTAGAAGCCCTACAGAGGCGCTTCCTAACATATATGTCTTTTTAACTTAAATACCCTGTTATGAATTGCTTGTAACTGACAATTTTTGTGGTCTAGAAGTAAGGCATAAATATAATTCATTTCTTTTTTTTATTCAAGGTCATAAACAATATCATCACCTGCTCTCAACTGTTACATATGTTGAATTTTTGGGTTCCTAGACGGTCATCTAGAAATAGTGTCACATTTTATCTCAACACTCCGCGTACAAATATAATGAAAAAATCTTCAAGTTATACAATGTGCGATACCTCTAATTCTGTTAGTCATGTCCTAGATATATTCAACTGCCAGATTATACAAATCAAAAGACATTTCTTAGTTAACTGACAGTCCATTATTTCCTGTTTTCGAATTTATTAGCCGTGGTCTGCAGATTTTTGAGCCTGACACTTGATCTGCAGATATTATCAATGTTGGTGCGGTAATGGACGAGGTAATTCAGCAAGTCTTTCCGAGTAGAAGTAATCTATGAGGGTGGTCCCAGAAATACCCGGCCTGACCTAAAGATAGCGGTGGTAGTTCGAAAAATATCACTGTATTAGAAAGTACACAATCTATACAGCATATGTTTCAAGTATGAAGACGTTGCGTTGTTGATTATTTGTTTGGTAGTCATCAATAGCGAACTTTTTTGGTGAATTTGTGAAAATGGAGTAAATTGATCATTGATATGTGGTACAATACTTATATTTGAAAGGCCTTAGACCAACCAATATAAAAGCAGAACAGGATTTTACTCCGGAAACGGTGAAGAAAAACCACGAAGCGGTACTGAACGTACTTCCACTTCAGAACATACAGATTCTTCCAATAATTCAAGAAGAGTTGAAAGGAACAGCAAAGTTCATTACTTCGACCATTGCCACAACGCCTTTGATAATGCCTGTCGTAGTTGCAGACGAAACGTCGGGTTCCAAAGATAGAAATATGACCAAAAAATAATTGTGATTTGAATCAAAAGATGATTTTCAAAACACACAGTTGTCACCTTCATCGAGAACCTAACCGCAACTAAGTTATACTAATACGGCGAGATATTCGTTACAAACGATGGAATAAGCATATCCTGCATTTGTTAAGTTGTCTACATTGAAAACATAAAAAGATCAGTGAACACAAAGGTACTAAAGTAAGTAATGAAAATCACCGTATCAAATTCGAGGACAATGCAGCAATCAAACTTCATAAACACTAAAACAATATCTATATTTCTGTGGGTTTTCGGGTATCACAGTGATCTTGACGTAACAACTGAAGAAGAGTACTTTGACCATCCCAATGAAGATAACTGCCGCAGTTGCAGTTGAAACTTTTGGACATTGTAATCGAAGAAATCCACGATAAATCCCGGAAACCAACCAAAACATTGACGCCAGTCACTGAAATCCTACATTCCTACAATATCTATATAATATAGGAAACTCAGGGGGTCAATAAAGCTTATCTACCTGTACTGTTTGAGTTTTAAACGGTGAGCTCAAAAATTTAAATTTAAATGGAGTAATAAAATGAGTTTGTAGTGACATGGAGGAACGGTGCAAGCAACTGTAGAATATGGTTTGGCGTTACTGAATGAAAGTGCATTAAACTTGGACGAAAACTGAATATTTTCTTTAGTTTTAAAGCAACCCTCGTATATGTAAATAGAAAATAAAAGGACCTACTATACGAAACAGAAAACTGTCGGGAAATATAAAAAACGCAGTGTGAAAACTATAAAAATTTCTCACATAATTGATTCCAATTTAAATGCATTGAACAAGATACAAATTAGGTATTTTCTGATGATTTAATTGAATTCGTCCAACGATTTCGTTTACCTTTTCTATGGCCCCTTCGTCCCACTCAAATAATTAGCTAAGGACCATTAACAAACATGTTTTCAAATCTTCATCGAAAAACAATAGCCGTTTAAAACCGCAGACATGGGGAGACCAACTTCGCCAAATCGGGGTTATTTACTGATCACCGCCAAAGTGAATATCAAAAAACATCTTCCCACATACCACCAACTCTCGAAAAATAAATATTGCGTTTGAATTCGCCACCGGGAATTCAAAGTTTGGGATGTCAAACGTGGAATGTGAGATGGTTTGTCGAAGCAGGGGTCCCAACACTTTCATTGAATTAAATTTCTCGACTCTTCCAGGTTTTCCCTGACCAATTTGTCGTGTTTTCTAATACATAGTATCAGAGGTAACCGTCTGATAATCCAAAAAGTAAGTCAAAGTATGAAAACGAAATTTCATTTCAATTTAATGAATTTAATAGTTGGTTCAAAGCTTCAGCAAAATTATACATACACATAAAAGTCTGAATATGTAAGGATGAAATCTAAATATGAATTGAAATGACAAATATGTAATAATCACTACACACAGTTTATTAAATAATGTCATTAAGATAGTCCTTAGTCCAACTACAGACTGGTTTCAAAGTATAGGGTTTCAGTTAGAGTCTTCCAACAGGGACTTCCGAACATTGACAATTGATAACATTGACATCTTGTTGAAGCTATATCTGTCAAATTAGTTGTCATTTATTCAATCTATTTTGCCAAATCACCATGAACGGATATAGCATTCAACAACACGCGCAAATGATAAAATTGGTTCATCGAAATAGGTGTTCTGTTCAGGCAACGCACCGCGCGCTTCACCCATTTTGGGACCACTGGTTCAGTAAACGATCAACCAACACCCTAACGTCGACGAAACGCATAATCTGTCGAAATTATAGCCCCTGTTTGTGAGAGTGTTCAGGAGAAGTCGAGGAAGAACTCAATCTTTCGCAGACCACACAACTTGTCGAATTTCGGGACGTGACTTGGGCCTGTACCAGTAGAAAATTCTACTGACCCAGGAACTAAAGTTCACAACGACGCGTGTTCGCTGTATGGGATCTGGAGCAGTTGGAAACTGACCCCAATTTTCATCGAAAAATCATCTTCATCGATGAGGCCCCATTCTGAACCCATGGGTACGTGAACGAATTTGGAACGATACCAATCCACATGAGATCCAAAAGCGTTCGAAACATCCCAAAAAATCACTGTTTGGTATGGATTTTGGTCTGACGGCATCATGGATTAATATTTCTTCAAGAACGATGTTGGCCAGGCCATCACTGTCAACGGCAAGCACTTTTTTTGACCTAAATTGGATGATCTGGATCTGCAACACAGCTCCTGTCACATTTGATATTCTGCACGAGCGAATTGAGGGTATGGCCTTCTCACGTGGAGGTGATGTGACCTGGCCTCCAAGATCGTTCGATTTAACTCCATGATCTTTCCTTGTGAGGTTTTTTCAAGTCGCAGGTGTATGCGAGTAAGCCACAAACCACAGCGGTCCTCAAAGCCAACGTAACCCATGTCATCGGTCAAATTCAGTCTGCTTTAAAAATTTCGATGAATCTCACACACTTCGTTTTATTTAAATTCAAAGATAGGAAGCACGATGCAAGACCCTATACTCAACCAAGACAGCAGTAGTTGTTTTGGCAGACATCGGCCTTGTCCTTGATGGAAAAGGAAAAATGGGAAAAATCTTGTTTCTTCCTAATATTTGTTCAAGGATACCACTTCTTCCAACACAATATGTAACACAGGGATAAGAAATCTAAGATCACAAAGATACAAATTAAATTAATCTTGTGAGGTAGCCATATACCTCAACGATTCTAATACGCACCATGAGGTCTCGGAGAAATGTATTTCGCAAATTTAGCGCTCCGACAACCCATTTTTTTCACAATATACATGAAATTACCTACAAGAAGTGAATTTACTGTTTATCATCTGTCAAACCAAGGAAATTCAATGAAATGGCACTGTCAGATTACCTGTTTTCCGATATGCATTCGACAGATCATGATGCGATGTCAAAAGAAAGCCACAGTATAACTCGAAAAAACTTTTGAATCAAATATATTGCATGAGCTTCCAACGCCGCTTGACTGTCCGCGAATATTTTCATTGACTTGTGTGTGAGGTTGGATTTATCCAATCTGTCCGCGCACAATTCAATAGCGTAAATTTTCGCTTGAAACACAGTCGAAACAATGATTGTTTCACACGGCACAACAAAACATGTCTGGGAATTCTATCAAAATAATTGAAATAACTATACTAAAACGGTTTCGCATCATTCTTGGAAAAACTAAATTGACAATTGCCGTATAGCCAGAAAAAATTACTCATTACTACTACTATTACAATCCAGGAGAGTTTCCCTGAAAAGAATTTGAAGAGCGCGTAATTGGTAATTAGGCAATTGTAGGACAATGGCGAGAGTAAAAGCGTTTAACAAAAGGCACCACTATTTACGAGATGGAATTTCGCATTAATTTGTTAAAACAAATAAATAACAATCATTTCTCCCGGAAACACCATTATTATACGATTTCGTAAAGGTCAAGTTAGAATTGTATTTTCGAAATATGTGGATAGATGAAAACATTTTCTTGAAACGGCTCAGTAAGTTCCCAACATTTTCGTTTTGTAATCGGATATCGAAGTTAGTACTCCCAAATAATATTGGTTATTCATCAAGACCCCACGTCAACAATACCTTAAAAAAACTGCAGGAAAGTTGAGTCTCACTTCAAAATATCTCAATCTAGAGTCTACTGGACTTTATTCTAAATGACCATCTGACCCGATCTTGGCAGGTGGTATAATGTGAATATTAGGCATGGCGATTGGAAATCAACAGTAGTGGCCAAAAGAACTTATTTTTATTATTCAATCAGTAAATAAAATGAAACGTGTAGATACCTTACCTTGTCTCCGATTTTTCCCGTCCACCATCCCTCGTCACCCGAAATTTTGGCATCTTCGCTGAGGACCTCGACGATCTGGCCCTTGCGCAGCGACAGCTCGTCCTCTCCCTGGGCGTCGTAATCGTAGAGGGCCGTCCTGAGGTAGGGGATGAGCTGCTGCTGGTGGTGATGGTGCGGAGGCCTGTGCGTTCGCTCGACGACATGAACCGGGCTGACCATGTCTCCATTGCGGGGCGCTTCCATGGACCTCAGCTGGTAGTGCTCCACCAACGGAGGCATCCGTTAAGGTCGTCAAGTCTTCGGAGATAAACATTCTTAGGTCAGACAAGGTGATATTAATAGATAATTTGTTGTGATTTGGCGATTTTGCCTCAATATTTGTGAATTCTGTCTCCTTTAGTAGTAGGATAGAGCACTTGGGAGCAATTTGTATAAGAAGCTGTGCTTAATAATTTTAACGATTTTGACGTTTCGTTATTTAAATACTTTTCACGTCTCCTGAACGCCTTATTAACGCTTTGTTTACGTTTCTTGGAAGCTTTCTGTCAACTCATCCGTCAAGCGACCATTAATATACTTCATAAAAAGGGTTCCATAAATGTTGTTGAAAGTCTTCCCTTAACAAGTAGTGATAAGAGACTCCATGGAGTTCAGCTGGCGGTGCTTCACCAACAGAGGCATCCTTTGAAGTCGTCAAAAGTTCGAAAATGAACATTCCTTGGTCAAACAATGTGATATTAACAGATAATATGGTGCAATTTAACGATTTTGCCTGAATATTTGTGACTCCCGTCTCTCATAGTAGTAAAATGAAGTATTTGGAGCACTTTTAATGGGGCGCATTTATGTAGAATCTCGATAGGATGATCGCTTGTGGTAGTATATAAATGGCGAGTTTCGACAATCGTTAGGTTGCCGCCCATGAGGGAGTGAATTGGTATTTTTTGGCAAGCTTGTCAAGGTAAAAATAGACATACAAAAGTTTCATTCGCAGGAGTTCAGGAATGTCAGAAAGCGTTCAGAAAACGTCAAAACGCGTCCAAGAAACGTAAAAAATCGTTTGGTAAGCGCAAAAGCGTTGAAAGTCCGTGTAGGAAAGGTGAAATGCGTATGTGTAAGGCAAAAAAACCTTCAGGAAATAAAAAGACAATTTTCTTAAATATTAACGTTCCTAAACGTGTTTTGACGCGTCCTAGAGGCTTTCGACGTTTCCTGGGCATTTTTTTGACGCTTTGATGTTTTCCAAACGATTTTATACGTATCTTTAAAACTTACAGTTTTTTAAACGTTTTACCGTTTTTAAGTTTTTAAACGTTTTACCGGTTTTAAACGTATTACCGTTTTAAACGTTTTACCGGTTTTAAACGTATTACCGTTTTTAAAAGTTTCACCGTTTTTAGACGTATTACCGTTTTCAGACGTATTACCGTTTTTAAACGATTCACCGTTTTTAAACGTTTTACCGTTTTAAAACGTTTTACCGTTTTAAAACGTTTAACCGGTTTTAAACGTATTACCGTTTTCAAGTTTCACCGTTTTTAGACGTATTACCGTTTTTAAACGTATTACCGTTTTTAAAAGGTTCGCCGTTTTTAGACGTATTACCGTTTTTAAACGTATTACCGTTTTTAAACGTATTACCGTTTTTAAACGTATAACCGTTTTTAAACGTATTACCGTTTTTGAACGTATTACCGTTTTTGAACGTATTACCGTTTTTAAACGTATTACCGCTTTTAAACGTATTACCGTTTTTAAACATTTCCGGTCATCTCCTAAATACCTATCAATGAAGTCACATTCTCCAAAATTTACCTTCCTGTGGAAAATTTTCATCCCACATCCACGCGCGCCAATCTAATGATTTTCGAAACTTGCCGTCTGCACGGTTCTCGTCTAGCGACCGTCCCATCAAAATGCTCCATAAATATACCCTAAAAGTGCTGTGAAATGATACATCTCACTACTTCCCTTGACTTCAGCAGTAACAGCTCTACCATCGGAGACCGGAGGCATCCGATAAACAATTTTTCACTTCTTTTTTGAATTGATTATTGGGGAGATTAGGCAAAAAAGAATCCAAAAACCAATTCAGATTCAAAATTCCAGAAAATAGAAGGATTTCGATTAAGTTCTGCAAGCTTAACGGTAAAACTAGCAGAACCCAGTGTATAAAAACTACACATAAAAATTGAGTGATGGGGGGAAGCAGGATCCTGAAATTATATGCTCTCATGAAAGTTGAATTTAAGCTATTAATCAGTACAAAAGAATAATTCCACAACTGAAAATTACATTAGGTATTTCAGATAAGTTATCAAGTTTTATTTTTACTGCTTACGATACGCACTTGCCTGAATCCGAATCACCAATTTATTGATTATAATTTTCAGTTTGGAACGTTTGATTGTTCCTTTTTTGAGAATGTCTCTAACAATTTCCAATCTATTAAAACTATTTTGTAATTCAGTTACCAGGTCTGTTCAAAAAATAAGGTGAATTTTCATTTTCCTGAAAACATATTCATTTATTCATTAGGGTTCTTTCCAATACAGTTCCGTTATTCACTTTTTGGTATGTCCTTGAGCTCTCTCAGCGTTGCAAAACGCCGTCCTTTCATGGGTCTCTTCAAACATGGGAACAGAAAAAAGTCGTAGGGGGTGAAATCTGGTGAATACGGTGGCTAAGGCATAATAACGGTATTGTTTTTGGCCAAAAAATGAAGAACAAGCGACAACGAATGAGCAGGCGCATTATGGTGATGCAAAAGTCACGACTTGTTTTTCCACAATACCGGAAGTTTTCTTCTTATAGCTTCTCGCAAGCGGCGCATAACTTCAAGATAATACTTCTCATTGGTCGTATGGCCATGTGGCAACTCTTGATGAACTACGCCACGGTAATCGAAGAAAACATGGCTTTTTGATCGAACTTGGCGTGTTTTTTTTTTGGTTTCGGATCTCTTTCATGAACTTTATAATTGTTTTCACCTTATTCATTAGCGTCACAATTGTGAAAATCAAATCAAACAATAAACGTGATTACATATACTAAACCGAAAGAAGCTAGAAATAGTTGAAAGACGCTTAGCGTGCAATTATTTTTCCCAACTCATTTAGTGAATATGGCAGTGAGCTTCTCATTTAATCTCTACATACAAAGTCTCATAAGCTTCCTTACATGAAAACTTCATATCTTATGAAAAAATTATGAATAATAGCATTGGCCCAGATATTAGGTAAGTCTTTTGTCACTCCCAGGTACCCTTGTATTGGTGTTCTTGGAAAAAAAGTACTAGTCCAATCTATAGAATTCCACATCATCAATAGACAAGTAATATGAATAAAATAATACTGTTTCTTATTTAAATACTTAAATCAAGGAAATTACAATAAATGCAAATGAATATACAGAGAACAAACAATATATAGTATAGTACGTACAAAACTTTGAAAGAATGACTGTGTGACCATTTATTCAAATATTGATCCAAAAATAGATATGAACAGAATTAAACTGAAATGTATATAAATACTCAAATAGTATAAATACCAATTAATACTTACCATTTAGGAAGAGATTATAAAAAAAAACAAAAAACATATTACTGAATTTGATAGGAATATAATGTTCGGAAATTACATT